GTATTTTTAGTAGAGATGGAGTTTCACCACGTTGGCCAGGCTGGTCTCAAACTCCTGAGCTCATTATGTGCCTGCCTTAGCCTCCCAAAGTGCTGGGATTACAAGTGTGAGCCACCACACCTGGCCTACAACAGAGCTTTTTGAATAGAAGTTCTTGGGATATGGCCTCTTGTTAATGTGTAGGGCCATCTGTTGGGGGTATTTGGGGATTATGCCTGCTCTAGCTGGCTTTACCAGTTTTATCTTTCCCCTCTTTGTCTCAGTTTTTTCACCGGTAAGATAGGAAGAATTTATTATCTATGTCAGAGGGCTTCCTCTCAGCCTCACTCTCTATCTCAAAGTGGTGGGGGGAAAGGGTGGGGTAGGGGGGGAGTGGTGAGCCAGTTCTCCAGCCAAGCACACAGACTGGCTCATACCTGCAAGAACACAAAAAGTCCCTTGAGTGACATACCCAGGCACCCAGGCTGACACATCTCTTTAAGTGAGGGGGGCGACAGGTGGCAGGCAGTGGCAAGCCAGTGGGGAGCCCCCAGGGCTTGGTGAGGGCAAGCCCAAGGAATGGAAGGGTGGCCTTTTTTTTTTTTTCTTTTTTTTTTTTTTTTTTTTGAGACGGAGCCTTGCTGTGTCCCCCAGGCTGGAGTGCAGTGGCACAATCTCAGCTCACTGTAACTCCTGCCACCAGGGTTCAAGCAATTCTCCTGCCTCAGCCTCCTGAGTAGCTTGGACCACAGGCATGCACCACCACACCCAGCTAGTTTTTTGGTATTTTTTAGTAGAGACAGGGTTTCACCATGTTGGCCAGGCTGGTCTCAAACTCCTGACCTCAGGTGATCCTGCCATGACCTCCCAAAGTGCTGGGATTACAGGCGCGAGCCACTGTGCTTAGCCTGAAGGGTGGCCTCTTGACCTCCAGTCCTGGAGCCCATGAAGTTGGGCAGGTACTCATACCTGGGCATGGGTTAGATGGGTGTGGGTCCCTATTAACTCTGAGTATGAGCTCATGTGCATGTGTGTATATGTTTATATATGGATGCCTTCGTTGTATGTGCAGATACCCATGATTATCCATGTGTGTGTATAGGAATGGCACCTTCTGTCTGATTGGAAATGAGACTCCAGAGTTACCCCAAACATGATGCACACTGCCTTATTTTTTTTTTGAGACGGTGTCTCCCTATGTTGCCCAGGCTGAAGTGCAGTGGCATGATCACACCTCATTGCAGCCTCAACTACCCATGCTCAATTGATCCTCCTACCTCAGCCTCCTGAGTAGCTGGGACTACGGGCGCTGGCCACCATGCCTCGCTAATTTTTGTATTTTCAGTAGAGACAGGATTTTGCCATGTTGGCAAGGCTGGTATTGAACTCCTGGGTTCAAGTGATCCTCCTGCTTCGGTCTCCCAAAGTGCTATGATTACAGACCTGCATTGCCTTGCCTGGCTCCACTGCCTCTTTTTACAGTCTGCAGGCCCAGACCAGGGTCTCAGAATATTAAGCCCACTTTCCAGGGCCAGGGTCAGTAGATGGCTTTGCTGCTGTGTGATTCTAAGCAAGTATCTTGACCTATGTATGTGTTCCTCAGTGCACCTCAGTTTCCTCACCTATAAAATGAGGGGTCTCCTTGAGCCCAGATAATACATCTCTGTAGTGGACAGGAGGAATGGGTCCTAGGGGTTTCAGGAGGGGCCTCCACTGTCCCCCACTTCCATGGGTACCTCTGACTCTACAGAGAATTGGAACACTAAGATCTGATGTAGCAGCCTAGAAATGGGGTTCAGCTAATGCTGGGAACAGAAGCTGGTCACTTAGGGACCAGAATGTGGCCAAGAGCCCCATTCTCTGGGCTTGGGGAACCAGAACCCTCTCAACAGACCATTGCCTGTACACAGGATAGAGGGTCCAGGTGTATACTGCTGTACCAGCCACCCTTCTGGAGCTTCGAGCTATAACTACTGAGCCTTTAATGAAAGTCTACTCTATGCAAGACCCCCACAAGCTGGGCAGGGGCAATACATGGACAAAGACCTGGCCCTTGGGATGCCAACTATCCACTTGAGAAGACACATTCGCATACAATGAATCATCATCACTTACTGTTTATTGAACAAATAAATGACTATCCAGCAAGGTAGCTATCAACACGTGAGTAGGAACAAGGAAGGCTACCTAGAGGAAAAAAGAGTGACTAGAATCTCTCTTTCTTTTTTCTTTTCTTTTCTTTTTTTTTTTTTTTAAAAAAAGACAGGGTCTGGGCCGGGTGAGGTGGCTCATACCTGTAGTCCCAGCACTTTGGGAGGCCAAGGCAGGCAGATCATGAGGTCAAGAGATCGAGACCATCCCGGCCAACATGGTGAAACCCCATCTCTACTAAAAATAAAAAATAAATAAATAAATAAATAAATAAAAAGAGACAGGGTCTGGCTCTGTCATCCAAGCTGGAATGCAGTGGCTTGATCATAGCTCACTGTAACCTTAAACCCAAGTGATCTTCTTGTCTTATCCTCGCGAGTAGCTGGGACTACAAGTGAATGTTATCTGGCTAATTTTTTTATTTTTTGCAGGGAAGGGGTTTACAGTCTCTGTAAGACTGTTGGCCAGGCTGGTCTCAAACTCCTGGCCCCAAGCAATCCTCCTACCCTGGCCTCCCAAAGTGTTGGGATTACGGGTGTGAGCCACCACATCTGCCCAAGTAGACTCTTGAAGACCGGAAAGATCTGGAGTTCAGAAAGTTCGGAAGAAGGCATTCCAGGCAAGGGAAACAGCTTGACCAAAAGGGTGGAGGTGGGAGAGTACTGAAGAGACAATGAGGAGTTTGACTTTAGCACAAGGTGCATGTAGGAGAAGGGGAGGTGAAGCTGGAGAGAACCGGGGCTGGAGCATGGGGGGCATCAGTGCTGTGTTAGGAGTGTGGGGCTTTGGGAGTCACATCAGGTTTTAGAACAAACAAGTGTTGTGACAGGAGAGACATGTTTCAGTTTATTTAGTTAAAGTCAGCAAGTAGGTCTGAGAGGATATGAGGTTAGCAGGAAGTGGCTGTGATGGGCAGAGGCTCAGAATTGCACGGCATGAGGACACTTTGGGTATAACACTCCAAGGGCCACAATGCCACTCCCCACCCCTCAGGCTCTGGTTATTTTTTTCTGGCTTCTTCCTCTGTCACTAGGGTTAAGGAGTCCCTTGGGAGTTTCAGATTTGGCTGGGACAGTTTTATCACTGCTAGAGCATTAAGCTCTGGCCTAGGTCACTGCCAGCCTCCTTTTGGGCCAGATGGGCAGTTCTCAGACTGGACTAGCCCTGCTCTGTGGACCTAGAACTTCTGGCCCTGGAGATTCTGAGATGTGTATTTGTGGTCTCTCCTCAGGCATCTCCCAGGCCACTTGGAGAGTTGGGGCCTAGAGTGTGGGGTGGGCAGAATCCTGAGGGCAGAGAGTTTGGAAGAATCTTACAATGGCAGCTTTAGAGGGAAGCCTGGATGCATTGTTTGACAAACTGAGACCCAGAGAGGTAACATGACTTGAGGTCACACAGCAAGTCTAGGGCACAGTCAGGACTGAAAGCCAGTCCTGGGGAGGATGAAGCACCCTGGGGTTTAGACCATCTGGTACATGTAGAGAATGGAGAGGGTCAGGGCTGGGAGCTATGGGTTCAAATCCTGGCTCTGCCACTTACTATACTTTTGTGACCTAGGACAGTCACTTGAGCTCTCAGAGTCTGTTTCCTCAACTGTAAAACGAGGAAAATGTCCACCCTTTGGGTTGTTGTGAAGATCAAAAAAACATACATAAAGCACCGTAGCAAAGGTCATGGCACACAGTAAGTGTTCAATAAATGTCTGCTAGTGGTATGGTGGTGCAATAGTAGGTGCCCAATAAATGTTGAATGCATTGTCGAATACGAGTTCACACGCTAACAGTGAGCTTGTGAGACTCAGCTCCCTCACGTGTAAATCAGGACTCATAATCAGTGCTCGTTCTGCCACTTCTGTACAGCCCCGGTAGCAACGTGGACTAAATAAGTGTGTAAACGTTCAAGTGCAGAGCCGTCTCAGGTCAATGTTTACTCAGCCCAGGGCAATTCCTCTCCAAGTCCTACTCTGTAAAATTTCCCGTCAGCTTCACTAACTTCTCTACATTCCCAGATGCTTCCCCGGAACCGCGGGTGGGGGATGCCCCCTTTCTGAAGCCTGCCAAACTGATGAAAAACAGGTTGGGTAAACAGAAAGTGTGTAGGGCTGAGGAGGTGAGCCAGAGGAGGGAGAGCGAGGAGAAGCGCAGTGGGGAGAATGGAGGTGCACGGACGTGGTGTGTATCGGGGAACTTGGATATAGGACGCAGTAAAAGGATTTGGGGAGCAGTGGAGAGGTGAGGGCGCTGCGATTGGGGAAGAGTCAGGAAGATGAGGAGCCGGTAGGAGGGAGTGGAGAGCCTCCTCGCGGAGAGCTCGCCGCGGCGCAGGGCTCCCAGCTCCCCGCAGCCGCCTCCCCCGACCCCCCGACCTCCCGCCCGGCTCCTAGAGCGTTTCCCGGCCCGAGCGCCCGGCCTGCAAACCAGGAGGAAAGGGGCGGGACGGGGGGATCCGCAGCCTAGGATTGGCCGCCGTCCGGCCAGCCGGTGACGCGAAGCGGGCGGGCCCCTTTGTGACGTCACAATCAGCTGTTTGAACGTTCCAATTTGTGCAGTGAGCCCCGCCGCGGCGGCAGCACAGACTCAAAGCCCAGCGGGCGAGCGCAGCAGCCCGGAGCGACTGCGGCCCCGGCGCCTCCCCCGCGAGTCCCCGCGATGCGGCCGGGCCTGTGAGCGGCCGGCGACCCTGGGACGCCCCGCCGCCCAACTACCTCAGCGCCGCGCTTCCCACCCCCGTCCCCAGGTGAGTCCCGACCCTCGTGGGCCTGGGGGGCTCCCCCGCCACGGACACGCCCTGCGCCCCCTGCGCCCGGGCCTTTGTCTGTCTCCGCCAGAGGCCGCCGGGGCCGCGTTCCCGGCTCCCGATTGGTTGCCGCACGCCCGGTAGCCCATGACGTAGTTTATTTGCATATGACATTGAGACGTCACCAAGGCCGGCACCGCCCCCACGGGCTCGGGTCGCTTGTCCTCCCTTGACCCGGTAGCCGCTGTGTCGGGGCTGGGCACCGGGTCAGACGCTGCCATCCAAAGGGGACTGTAGGGGGGTCGGCGATTTCCTAGGCTAATCCAGGGGCTAGGGTCAGGCCTCTGATCCCCTACTTTCTCTTTGCAACCTGAGGAGTCAGACGGCGCTGCTGGGCCTAGGTTGACGGGGCCGTCAGGAGTTCAGGGCTGCCTCGGTCTCTAGGTCTTTGGGACGGCACCAGATGGTGGTCGGATCCCCTCCCTCTGGCTCCAGACTCCGCCCCCAGGGACTAACAGAATAACATCCTCCTAATCCCTGATTTGTGTGCAGTGCTTTAGCTAATGTCACTCCCAGACCCAAAATGAGGGGTCTTAGACCCGAGTTCACAGAAGAGGCAACAGGCCCAGAGAGGAGGATTAGCTCACTGGAGGTCACACAGGCAATTAGAGTCATGCTCACTGAGTGACAGATGCATTATTAGCCAGGGGCATAGACATAGGAGGGGCTCAATACAACTGGCAAGATACACATCCGCCTTCCTCTGGGGACCCTATCTTGGGCTCAGCATCATCATGGTTTGATAGGCTCCTAGGTCTCCTTACTCCTGGACCCTTTTCCAGGGAATCTCTGGAGATAGGTTCACCTTTTGTGGTGCTAAGCCCTTCTGTCCTCACTATACCTTGGAGTCCTAGAGTCCAATAAAATCGCTGCCTCCCAGCTGTTTTGATCACAGAGAGGTGAGTCATTGGTTGCCTCCGGGTGTCTCCAGGACTGATGTTGGGGTGGAGGGTGGGGTGAGGATTCCCTCTATTGGCCCTTTACCTCCCCAACTCCCTAGGTTGTCAGCCAAGAAGGACTTAACCTGGCCTAGTGCAGACAATTGCAAGTGTTTTCTTGCACCTTCCTCACCCCCTCTGCCCCCAGAGAGTATAGGAGAAGGGATAGGAAAAGGAGAGTTTATGTCTTAAGTGGATGGGGCCTAGAGGCAGAACGAAGAACTCCATTGCAGCTGGGAGTTTGCTCAAGGATGGGCTGGGGGTAGGGGTGGCTTAGGACTCAAATGCTATTCTGGGCAGAGCTGCTGTAGTTATTAAAGGGAATGGTTCTCCCTGGAGCAGAACTGGGAATGTGAGAACCAGGAAGCTGGCAGGGCTGGGAAAGAAAATCTGGGAGGCTCCCCAAGTGGTCAGGAGAGGGGGCAGGCACTGGCTGGCTGGTGCTGCTGTCACTCTTGGCTGTCACTGACTTGCTGTGTGACCTCAGGCAGGGAGCTTCTCTCCTGAGCCTCTTTCAGTTAATGCATGCTAAATCTTGGTGCCAGGAACTCCAGATCCTTTTGTAGTGGCTAGGTCAAGGTCTCTCTTTGACCTCCCTGTACCCCTTCATCATTATATTCTTGGGGATTGTTTTCAGAGTCTTTCCTGTGTACAGTCTGGACTGGATGCTCAGTAACTTGGGATTAGGCCTGCCCTGCCACTATCTAGCCATGTATTTTTGCATAGATTTATGTCCTCTTTCTGATCATCAGATTATAAAATGGGCTAGGTGAATATGATAGTCCCTGAAATAGCTCTTAACTTCTCTTTCATATTCCGTGAAGTAGTAGGTTCTGGAAAGAGGATGTGCCTTATCAAGGCCTCAATATTCCCTTCCTTCAAGAGGAGCCAAACTTTCTGGGCTTTTGGTAATGGAGTCACTAGCTCCCTGTGGCTACAGATGAGTTAGGATACGTGGATTGTGCTGGGTGGACACCAGTTGGGGGTGGCCTCACCTTCATAACCCCTATAGATCTCCCACCCCAATCCCACCAGGGAAGCCAGCATCTTGAGCCTACTGTGCGCCTGCAAATATGGAAATATTCTCAGGGTATGGAAGTGAGGTGATTCTGCAGCAAGTGTGAAAACATTCCCAGACAATAGAGGGAAGAAGCAATAAGCATGGAAATACTGCAGGTGGATTAGCAGAAAGAATAGAAATGCCTCAAGGGAACAGAAGTCTGGACATGCCCCCAGGAAGTTCTACAGGAAGTGTGGAAACACCCTCACTGAATGTGACAAGTGGCTCAGGAGCAAACCACTGACCATCTTTAGGGAACAGGTGTGGAGAGTCAGTCAGGCTTCAGGTACATCCTGGGGAGTCTGGCCAGCAGCCCCCAGCCAAGCTGTAGTCCTGAGGTAGGCTGACATGGGGAGGTGAGGTGGATCTAGAGCCACCACCATTTCTGGAGCAAGGGGCCTCCCTCTTAATACTCACCCAGGGAAAGATTGGTTGAGGGCTTGCTTGGGTCCGGGTCCAACCCTCAGTGCTCATCCTTAAGGGCCCCTGGAATCTGACAACTCCCTTCCTCCATCATCACCTCCCACTGATCTGCTGTCTCCCTGAGCCCAAGCAACCTGATCTTCCTCCTAGCCTGGGATGCTGCCCTTGAACAGGAGATGGCATGCCATCTTTACACCTCATATGACAGACACAACTGAGATGTGCCAAATCACATGGTAAGATGGTAGCAGTTCTATGGGATTTCTGCTGTCCAGTGCTTTTTAAACCACACAGGCTCCAGGAGTGGTTCTTAATCTCTGGGGTCAAGGATTGCTGTTTAGGAAATCATGATGAAAACCAAGGGTCCCTTTCCCCAGAAAAATACAAATGGGCAATGATCCCTGGCCACCAATTTGAAAATATCAAATTCAGACAGATACACAGCAGAGGCAATAGAATACAGTGATTCTGGATGCTACTTCTGGAATCTGACTGCATGGGTTCAAATCCCACCTTTGTCTCTCACTAGCTATGAGAACTTTGGGACAGTTACCCTCTCAGAGCCTCAATTTCTTCAACTGTAAAGTAAGGATAGTAATTATTATCCACTTCCTGTACTTGTGAGTATTACATGAGGTAATATAGGTAAAGCTGCTTAGTATAGTGCCTGGAACCTGAATGTTAGCTATATTACTATTATTATTATTTTGAGACCGAGTCTCACTGTGTCACCTAAGTTGGAGTGCAGTAGTGCCTCCTAGGTTCCAGCGATTCCCCTGCCTCAGCCTGGAATTACAGGCACCTGCCACCATGCCCAGCTAATTTCTATATTCTTAGTAGAGATGGGGTTTCACCATGTTGGCCAGGCTGGTCTTGAACTCCTCACCTCAAGTGATCCACCTCCTTCTGCCTCTTTTGCCATTGACCATCTTTTTTTTTTTTTCTTGAGATGGAGTCTGGCTCTGTTGCCAGGCTAGAGTGCAGTGGTGCAATCTCGGCTCACTGCAACCTCCGCCTCCCAGGTTCAACCAGTTCTCCTGCCTCAGCCTCCCTCAGCTGGGATTACAGACCTGTGCCACCACGCCCAGATAATTTTTTAAATCTTTAGTAGAGATGGGGTATCACTATGCTGGCAGGATGGTCTCAATCTCCTGACCTCATGATCCACCTGCCTTGGCCTCCCAAAGTGCTGGGATTACAGGCATACACCACCGTGCCCGGTCGCCATTGACTATCTTTAGGGAATAGGTGTGGAAAGTCAGTCAGGCTTCAGGTACAAGCTTGACTAAATACATGCATACATAAAGTTTTGAGACAGTGTCTTGCTCTGTTGCCAAGCTGGAGTTCAGTGGTGCGATCTCGGCTCACTGCAATCTCTGCCTCCCGGGTTGAAGTCATTCCCCTGCCTCAGCCTCCCGAGTAGCTGGGACTACAGGCATGCACCGCCATGCCTGGCTAATTTTTTAATATTTTAGTAGAGACGGGGTTTCACCATGTTTGCCAGGATTGTCTTGATCTCCTGACCTTGTGATCTGCCGGCCTCAGCCTCCCAAAGTGCTGGGATTACAGGCAGGAGCTACGGTGCCCAGCTAGCCTAGCTATATTATGATGATAACAAGTGGACAATATGGGCAATTTCCTCCCTGCCTGGAAAACTCCTATTTACTCCTCAAGGTCCAGCTTGGATGTCAAGTTCTCTGGAGACCTTCCCTGACACAGCTGTGTCATGTGTCACTCTTTCCATGTTCCTAAAGCACCCCGTAATAATAACTAACTTATTACCTTGTTGAGTGTTTTACATATGCCCAGATGCAGTTCTAAGCACTTTATAAGTGTTTAGCTCATTTAGTTCTTTTTTCCCCCTTTTTTCTCCTTCAACAACTTTGGTATAACTCATTTAATTCTTATTACAGCCTGGAGGAGGATACTATTATTAGCTCATTTAATTCTTATAAGAGCCTGGAGGAAGGTACTATTATCATTGCCTTTTGAGAGATGAGAAAACTAGGCACAGATATGTTAAATAACTTCCTAAATTCATACAAAAGAGTTTTTTTTTAAAGCCTGGATTTGAATGAAGAAAGCCCATACCCCAAAAGCGTCTGCACACATCCCTGTTTTGTGTGCCCTTCTCCCTCCTCTGGGGGTGATATCTTCTGTCCTCTGCCCCAGGCCAGGAGTGGGGTGAACCTCAATCACTGGTGGCTCTGACGCCCTTCTATGATTCCCAGGTTTTTGCACTGCCATAGGGCGCCCCCGTGAGGCCGCTTCGCCCCCCACCATGTTCCAACGCCTCACCAGCCTCTTCTTCAGCACCCCCCCGGCCCCTGAAGACCCCGACTGCCCCCGCGCCTTCGTGTCAGAGGAGGATGAAGTGGACGGCTGGCTCATCATTGACCTTCCGGGTGAGGCCTGGGTCAGCCTCCTGGGCCTGTGAAGTCATCCTAAGGGCAGATGGTCGAGCAGCGGAGGGGAAGGGTTGGGGGACTGGGGGGTCCCCAAGCCTACTGGAGGTGGGGTCACGGGGCCCCTTCCCATGAAAGCCGGGGCCCTCTCCTGGCGGCTCAGGAGAGGCTGCAAGTCAGGACCCCTAGGGCAGCAGGGCGAGACTCTTGGCCTGTGGGTACCCCGGGGCGCTGCGGACAGGCTGCGTGTCTGACTAACGATGCCCTTTCTCTCCCCGCCCCCTTGTCCCGTGTGTGTGTGTCCCTCGCCGCTGCTCCCTTCCTCTGCACCGCTCCCACCCCGCGCCCCGTAGACAGCTACGCGGCTCCACCCAGCCCCGGGGCCGCCCCTGCCCCCGCGGGCCGCCCTCCGCCCGCGCCCTCCTTGATGGACGAGAGCTGGTTTGTTACCCCTCCCGCCTGTTTTACTGCAGAGGGGCCTGGGCTCGGTCCCGCCCGCCTCCAGAGCAGCCCCCTGGAGGACCTCCTCATCGAACACCCCAGCATGTCCGTTTACGTCACCGGCAGCACCATAGTGCTGGAGCCCGGGCCCCCTTCCCCGCTTCCGGACGCGGCCCTGCCTGACGGCGACCTCAGCGAAAGGTGAGCGGGCCGGGGGCGGAGCCTGGAGGCCCAGGGAGATGGATCTTGGAGGCCAGGGTCCAGGGCAGGAGGCGCTGGAGCGGCTTGGGAGGGTTGCCTTCGAGACAACGTCGGGGGCCCGTGGGCCGCAGGGCAAGGCTAGCAGCGGGACTTAGGGTGAGGGGCGGGACTGTCGGGTGAGAGAGGCGTGGCCTCGTGGCCGGGGCGGGGCTTGGGAGGGAGGGGCGTGGCTAAGAGGCCACAGGCGGATTTGGAGGCTTGAGGAGCGTGGCTGGAGTGCCGTGGAGTGGGACTTAAACAGAAAGGCAAGGGTGGAATTGAGGGTGGGAGTCCAGTCTTCCCCGAGGTCCAGTTTACCTGTCAGGGGCTAGAACCGAGGAGACACCTCCGGGTTGGTACCCACAAGAAGTGCGTCGGGCACCCCAATTGAGCAGACACAGAACTGCAGCAAGGCAAGGGTGGGAGATGGCAGCGCCCCTTAGGCCTCCCACCCGGGTTACCCGGCCTGACCCAGCCCCGCTCTGTGTCCACAGGGAGTTGGCGCCCGCCCGCCGCGAGCCCCGGGCCGCGCGCCACGCCGCTCCTCTACCCGCGCGGGCGGCGCTGCTGGAGAAAGCGGGCCAGGTGCGGCGGCTGCAGCGGGCCAGGCAGCGGGCGGAGCGCCACGCGCTGAGCGCAAATGCGGTGCAGCGGCAGAACCGAGCCCGCGAGAGCCGTGCGCGCCGGCCCAAGCACCAGGGCAGCTTCATCTACCAGCCGTGCCAGCGCCAGTTCAACTACTGAGCGTCTGCTGGTCGCGCCGCGAACCCCTTGCCGACTACCGATCCCTGTCGGGTCCCTCCGACGCCTCGGGCTGGACGCGAAAACCTCCCTCCTTAAAGCTGAGGTTGGGTGATAGCCGTTCCTTCCCTGACACCCTCAATTTCCCCATCTCTGATCCTCTAATCCGCCTCTGAGCCCCTTTTCACGCCCTCATTCGCCCTCGCTGTTTCTGGCCCCCATCCCCAGCATCTAATCATCCATGCCCCCTGCTCCTGACCCCTCCATCCTTTCTTCTCTGGTCCGCATCCCTGTCTCTCCCCTTCACCCTTGCCCTCCAGTCCTCTACCTCTGGCCCGCTCCTATTTCTGAAAGCTTCTTCCAGTCCCTGATCTGGCTCATTCCCCACCTTCAACTCCCACCTTACATGACTCACACTATCCCGTGTTTGGCATTACACTCACCCCTGTTCCCTTATTCTTCATTCCCAGTAATTTGCTCCCAAATGGTGGAGACCCTGAGCCCAGCTCTGACCAGGTAGAGAGCCTGTGCAGTCTGGGCCACTGTCATTGCCCTCTAGTAAGGGCTCGGGGTTTTGCTTTTAGTCTCCCCTTCATTCTGCCTTGGGGGCTGTACTCTGTGGAGCTGCTTAGGCCTGGAAAGGTACAGTATGTAGAAGAGGACTGTGCAAGTGAGTTAGAGGGAGAAGACGGAGGGAATCTAGGAAATGAGGCAGCCTCTTGGAGATTCGGACAGGACAGACATGTTGAGAAGCTACAGGGAGCAGGGCACCAAGGGAGCTCGCACTGTGCCTGCTCAGAGAGGCAATGCCCTGCTTCCAGGCTGAAGCCTCGAGTCTGCTCCCACTTCCCTTTTCTATAATCCATTCTTCTGCAGGTTCCTGAATCTGAAGGGCTTAGTTAGTACCTTGCCACTCTACCCCTGAACATGTCACCCGAGTAGAAGCTGGGCAAGGTCCCACCATCCTGGCCGTTTGTTCACAAGCCCAAGGTGCTAGAATAGCTTAGGGGAGATGCAGGCCACAGGGCTTCTAGGCAGGCAAAGGGCATTCACACTAGGTCAGAGTGCAGAGCAGTGATGCTGGAGAGGACACACCATGGGGTGAAGCCATCCCAACGCTGACAGCTCAGCCTTCACCTTGCTTGCCTCTGGTCTTGTATTTCACACTCTGCTCAGTATGGCTAGGAAGCGGTCCTGAGTAGAAGTCCAGGAGCCCCACTGTCCTAATCCCCAAATTGTTCTTATCCAGGTTCCGGGCCTTCAGGGGGCCTCTTCTCATTTTCTCCCACAGGCCTCTCTTTCTAGGTTGCTGGGAGAAATGGGTGCCCTATGGTCCCTCTCCTCTCCTCCTCCAGAAATGTGAATCCCTGGGGGAGGCAGAAGGGGCAGAGGCTTCCCTCTTCTTGTGGAGATTGAATTTTGGGCTCAGACACCAGCAACAGCCTCTTGGGATGCCCAAGTTGCTTCCCAGTTCCTCTTTCTAGCCGTCCTTTTCTAGTATACTCACTCTTCCTTGGAACTTTTAAGACTTCTTGGTACATATGAACATAGGTCTTCCCCTCACCCCAACTTTAGGTTTCCAGGCCTCACAGCCAAGCTGAGGCTTGGAGAAAACTCTGCATTCCCATGAGGGCAAAGGCAGCTGCCCTTCCTGACCCTATAGTCCCAGGCCTCATGGGGGATGTGTGGGGAAGGTATGGGGTATCCCCATGGATGCTGGGATGAGGGCAGAGGAAAACCTGTTGGGGTCTCCTATCCCAGGGAATAAGCCAAATTAACACTAAAAATTGATCAAAACTCCCACACCAGTCCACTAGGGCCCCAGTAGTTGACAGCCTTGCTCCTCTCCCTAAGTTCTCCTTTAGTTACAACCTAGTTGCTTTTATTCTTCCAGCTACCATTTGGGCACTTCAGAGCCAGCCTAGGGTCTTCGGCACCTCCAAGAGCTGAAACTCCCTCCAACCCTTCTTGCCTACTCCTCACTGCCAGCTGGGGTCTAGGCTCAGTCCTATGTGGTGCCCATGATCCCTCTGGTGGGGGAAGAGCTTAAGGGAAGAGCTTAAGTTATAGGGCATTTGGCTCAAATTTTAAAAGGCCTTGTGTTTACCTATATTTCTGGAGGCTCCTGTAGTTCTAGAACCCAATCTCTCACCTGGCTGGCTGCAAGGCTCTTATTTTTTGTACTTTTCCTATAGATTCTGTAGCATTTGAGTGTGGCAATATTTTAATTGTGTATAGATTTCTAAGAACCAACACTACTCAGTCTCCTGCTAGTCTGACTCCTGAAGCATCAGACCTTGTCATACTGTATTGACTGTGTACGTGCCTTTCACCTTTGAGCATGCTTCAGGATTTTTTTTTTAAACCACAGAACTTGAATACATGAGGGAACCAGAGTTCACAAAGTCCTATGCAACCTTAGGAGGAGGTTAGAGAGTCTGTTTTGATTGATGTTTTCAGTGGCCCTAGAGGAGTTTGTACCAATTTGTGAGTATTAATGTCAGTACTACCAGCACTTTGCCAAAACTGTGTCAGAGGGACCCCTGTTTCTAGAGTGAGTCCCAGTTACATCAAAGAGTGACTTCCAGTTATTCCCTAGTAAGTCTGAGTGGTTCCTTCAAGCTGGGTGTCTTTCCAGCCTTTGCCAGTCTAGCCCCAGCAGGGCAGCGTGTGTGTATGAATGCAGTTTGGTGCTGTTTTGGAGTATGCCTGCTCCCCAGCTCCCTGCCTGGAACGCTCTGATCAACTTGCGCTGACCTGTAATGTCTTAGGTGCAACAAGGACCCCACCAGAGCTCTTGGATGCCCTCCTAGATCCATGTGGCTTTATGTGAGGGGACTGAATGCAGACACACCATAGCCCATTTCTACTACTTTCCCTCTCACCCTTCCACCAAGTTCCACATGGAACCAACAAGTTGAGTGCGTCCCTGTTGGGTGTTCTCTGTTGAGACTGGCTGAAATGAGACTTTGGTTGACCATGTGATGTGTCGACAGACTCAAGGAAACAACCACCTCAACCGGGTCATGTGGCATGCCTGTGTATGTGTGTAACAGAATTCTGATTGTTAGACTGTAATGCTATTCCTCTATGGGAGAAAAAAAACTAATATAAAGAAAAACAAATAAAAATCTATTTAAAGCACATGATACTTTCTGCCTGAGTTGAGCTTAAGTATGCGAAGCACTTTGTAATCTTAAGCACAGTAGTGGCGTAGAGTATTATGATTAAGCTGGCTTTGGTTCTGTGTGTGTGTCATACGGGAGAGGAAGAGGGTAGATAAGCTTACTGGGAACAGAGCCAGACAATGGCATCTGACTCATACATGACTACTTTTAGAGGATCTTTATAATGCAAGACACATACATGAAGACAGCTGGAATAGAGAGGAGAGTAAGAGCAGGACAGAATGACCAACTCATCCTTTTGGTCTTAGGCACTGGGTTACAGCAAGGGCAAGGAGCCACTGGAGGGGAAAGGATGAAGTCTAACCCTAGGGGAGATGCAGCAGAAGGCTGAAACCCAGGCTGAGACAAGTCCAGGGTCCCAAGCATCAAAGTCTCCTGAAAGTTGGGGGTAGGGTGGGGCAGAAGCAGCTGGCTTTGGAGGCAACACAAACTTCAAAGCAGGGCAGCCAAAGTGAAATGTACTGGACATCTCTGAAATATATAACACAAAATGACCCCTTTTATTTGGTAGCTGCTCCATCTAACCACAGAATTGGACTGAAGGTAGAAACCTGACCTAAACTGGGCTAGATTCTTGATGCTGGTACAATCTTAGAGGCCAGTCTGGGCTTATCTCCTCTATGGAGGAAACGTAAGCACAACTGTTTTGGAGCAATCCACAATGCACATGGAGGAGCAGATGTGTGTGATGTGGTGAAAAATGCCATCTCCGCTGCTGACAGCTTCCTGTCCCTAGAAAATCCTGGGTGGCCATTGATCTCTAAGTTGGTTTTATTATTTGCATCCAAAAGAAATTTGAGCAATAGATATCAAAGTAGCTGGCACAGTGCTGAACAGAGCTAGTTTCTTCAAAGCCAAGAATGAATTGAGCAAGTACGTACATTTTCCTCAACTTGCCAGGTGGGCATCTCAGGTGCAATGAGGACTAGATGAGAATCCCATTCACAAAGAAGTCTGTGTCTGCTTATTTAAGGACCAAGGAAAGAGCTTATCACCCAATAATCCCTTACCAATAACATAACTTTATGTTCTATGACAATGACATTTATTTAACACATTATTTCACATTGTACAAATCCTTAGATTCTCTTTATTCACTGGTCCATTTCTACAACAAATACATCCAAAACACTATATAATAAAATTATTTACAACATTTCCAAATGAGAAGATTGCTTTTGCCCCCACTACTGCTATTCACACACAGTACTTCCACGGCACAGTACGTCATTAGGAGATCTAAAAATGCTCACCCTGTACTCTAGGCTGCTTAGGAAATGTGAAAACTAATAACATTTATAATGGCATTAGCTCCTTTCAATACAAGAAAACATTTTAGAAACCTTGAACTTCAACTTGCAACACCAAAAGGGCTCAACAATCCTGCTTTCCCCATTGCACTTTATGAAACAGGTTGCAGGGACTAGGAAAAGGGCCACATTATTAAAACTATTAACTGTACAGAAATGGATTTAAAAAAGTCACAGCTCAAAATTGCTCTTTGTAAAAGTCACACACATTTACAAGTATCGTCACCGTCCTGGTTGTTTACTTGGATTTTCTTCGCTTGGATTGCACCGCACTGGTTATGTCTGTAGAGGGAAAGAAAGGACATGTTCAGTGGAGGTAGCTCTTTTCAGCAGTGCCCTTTAGGCAGTGCGCAACAGGCAGAGCAGACCTAAGGGGAGCCCTATTCTACTTGGAAGCTGTTTGAGGGGCATTCTGAATGGAGAGAGTCGCAGGCGCTGCTTGAGGGCTTACATGGGAAGAGGGTGTGGCCCTGCATTGGGCAGAATTGGGGGAATGTGACTGAGGTGGTGGGAGATGAAGCACACCTGATTAGACAAACTGCAGGGTGGAGACAGCCTTTGTAGCTGGGCAATTAACCTCACGGTTTCCTTCACCAGTTTCCATCACACAATGAAGTGTGACTAGACAGACAATGTTTTTGGTGAGAAATCAGTAATGCCATAAGCAAGTGGTAAATTGTGTTAGAGTACAAAATAACTGTCTTAGGATCCCTTTTGAAGTTAAGCTATTGTTTTAAAGTAAGGAACTCTTTTTGTCATGCTATAGTCGAGGTCTAAACAACACGACCATGGACTCTGGTCAATGAGTGTCTATTGTGGCCCAGCCAGTTACATCAAGACTGTGGATACATATACATACAGTCATGAATGCAATTCAGAACAAGCAACAGCTTGCTCTGAGCCCAAGTGAGCCTGAAGGTTTCATGGAAGAGGTGGGAACTGAGTGATTTACACACAGAATGACAGTGACATAAAGGGAAATGACTATGTTTTGATTTCTTTAGTTTCTATTGTACA